CCTGGACACCAAGTACGACACCAGGAAGATGCTGGAGCCCATCAGCGACGACGTCACGGCCGTCAGATAGAAGGGGTACGCGGGTCCAAGAAGCAACCACACCGGGGTACCGTACCACAGTACCAGGCAGAGCGAGATGCTGGACAGCGCCTACAATTACACGCCTCTGTCACGAGGGCCCCGCTACGTGCAATTTCCATGCACGTGCATAACAAACTATTTCAGCAGACTTTGCGAGTCTGGCGTGTGTTTAGTATGACTAATGTTCGTATATCTGATTAACATACCGGGCTATAATCAGAAAGCAACCTTATACAGTCATTGCCTGTAAAATTTGACGAAGAGGAGGCCTCTGCGAAGTCAACTTTACTCTGAAGAATCAAGACCGATCTTCCAAATTACATTTAAACGACAGTGTCACACCGGCTTTCTCCTTATGAGAAAAATATAGAATTCTGTTAAGTTTAAGTTCTTACTTTGCTGCCAGGCTGCAGTGGAATGTCAAGGCGATACAAGCTTTCTATTGCCTAACCGTAAATGCTGTCTGCTCTCAGCCGTCTCACGTGGCAGGCCAGAAGGCGGCCGTGGCTCGAACGACTTCCACAATTTCACACAGTGTCCAGTACATTAGCCTAACAACACTTGGCAAATAAACGACGAATGCCCGAACACCAAGCACGCCTCACCACTTCCGCGAGCTTGTAAACGCCCGTCCTGGTGTTCACAATCCCCAGGTTGATGCATCCGCAGTACACTTCCCCGCTCTGCGTCGCCGACGAGGCCGGGCTGAGGTACCTCGTCGTAGTCGTGGTTCTTGTAGTGACTGGCCTCTGTTTATCCATACTTCCCTAACAGCTGGCAGCATGCGGCGAAATGCGCAGACACCACAACACAGACCCGACACAACGAAAGGGTACATTGCACCGGAAGCAGACAGCGGCATTGGACGATGACGTCAGAGCCAGACTCGGAGTGCTGGCGACATGAAACAGAAGGGGCTTTTCCAAGTTTAGAGAGGGCGCGGTGTAACGCCCCGAAGTGGAAGGAGGAGCTGGAGAAAGAGGGTGCCGTCACCGGGAGAAGCAAATCCAACTTGGGTCGGCATTCCCAAAATACACCCCTCTACAGCGGTGCCGCTGAGCTCCTGCAAAGGAATCCCCCTTTTGTGGTGAGTGTGGTATGTACGAAGGACTGAGCTTGAAGCGTTTAGTTTCTCGGAGAACACCCAAAAGGTGCCGACACTGCTATATGCCGTTAATAAAACAACAAAAGAACGCTCAACAGCATGCTTCTGCGCGAAGCACGCGGAATGTGACCACCTTTGGGTACCTTGCGATTAATTTAAAGGCAATCGAGTGTTTTGTTCCGTACACTTTTGTTCAGCCGCCAACAAGTGAGACTCGAATAGACGAGGAGAAAAGATTCTTCGTCAGGATCTGCCGTGCACGAAAATCCCAGCTCCCATAATAAATCTCCCTTCCGTTCTGTATTTTGATTAGGTAGTGCGTATACCCATCGGGCATAGAGGCATCCGAACCCGGAATCACCGGGCGGCGCTGTTGGCTGTATGCCAGGGTCCCCGGCTAGCGCCCAGAACACCGCTAAACCAAGGAACCATCTGAAAAGCAAGCCAACTTGTGGGTGTTGTCAAGTTTCCGAAGAATGAACTATTTATAGCGATTTGAGTGTATCCCGCTCGCCCATTCGCGCGAAGTCGCCAGTTCGGGAACTAGTGAGCTTCTGTTTGTACGCCTGTCATATTTATCAGCCACCCGACGGAACATATAATAAACGGAGCAAGGCACACACTAATGGTCAAGATTTATTAGGCACAACAGAGAAAATACAACAACTAGCTTGCATATAGGATTCCTACTGGCGTTGTCAATAAATACGATTCTATTGCTCATGATTGTAACAACAAAAGGAACTTGTACTTTGAAGCCTGTGTAACGACGTACTGTAACGTAACCAAAAATGGCTTTCACAACACGTTGGTGGGGTTGATTGAAATCCTGGCAGTATAGAACCAGCTGATAAATTGGGTTGGCAAAATGTCCGCCAGGGCAGATCGGGCTGCCTCCGACAATTTCTTATGGCCCATTAAGCATTGGTTTCATCAAGGCACAGCCTCCGCTACACGTTCTGCACGTGTAGCTACGTAGAGTCCCGTCAGACAGTGACCAGGTATACAACTTCTCGAATACGAACTTCTACGAGGCACCACGACAAAAGAAGAAATGCTTCCGCACATACAGAACAAGAAGCTCCGGGTGAGCAACAGCACACCACGTCTTACCCTTTGTGCTACAGGGACATGAAGAGAGCTACAGCAAGCTACAGTGGCAGTGGCGCCAACATGAGTATTGATGAACAAGCGTGTGTAGTGATTTTACATTAAGCGACAAGGCAGGGCGTGCGGTTATGACACCACGATGGCCATGAAAGCTTCATCCCTGTCTGAAGATGCGGAAGGAGAACACAGCACCGAGGAGGTACAAGGCCCCGTTCATGATGCCGAACACCTGAAAGAAAGCAAAGTATGGTCGATGGTCATGAACAATCTCACAAAGCTAATTCGAGCACATGTCAAGACTTCAGAATGACCTTACTGAGGTCTAGAAGCATTAAAGGGATACTGAACCAAAATTTCGAGCTCACTAAACAAGGCCGGGCGGATAGGCGATAAGCTGCAAAACCAAAAAATATCAGTCATACGGCGATATATCTTACCGATCGCCGTATTGTTTGGAAAAGAAGTGCGCGATTCAGCCCGGCCGACCAGGCCGACGAGACAAGGCACGTCACGATTCCCATACTCTCTCCTCCTCGCTACGTCCCGCCAAGCTGGTGAACCATAGCGAGGAGGAGAGAAGCGACGCCGCTTCTCCTTTCTCCCGGAGGACAGTTACGTCAAAGAACTCGCTTGATCGCGCCCTTCTTTTTCCAAAAGTACGGCCATCCGTTTGAGATATCAATGTACGAGTGATGTTTTGGGGTTCATAGCGTCCCATTCCACACTTCTGTAGCCTTACTTTTCGAAATCCAAATTTCGGTTCAGTATCCCTTTAAGAACTATTGCTTGGAAGTGTCTTTATTTTACAGGCTTCTTGCCCATGGGTATGTACTCCCAGGCCAGGACACAATAAGATAAACTGGTTTTGTTCCGGCCACGAGACATATTTTGAAGTAATCATCTACCTTACATTCAGCAGTTTGAAACAATTAACCTATAGTCCTATGACATCGAACGACGAAGTACTACGCGAACGCAAAACTCGAAGCCACAAGATAACTCACCGAATTCGTGGTAATTATGTTATTCCGAAGAAACATATAGGGGTCGGGCAAATATTTCCCAGGAAAGAAAAACATCCCGCGAACGTCACAAAAAAAAAAAAAAAGACTGATTTTGTATAGTCTTCAAAAAGTAAAATAAAGCTGCGATGTATCACAGCGCCTTCTGATTGGTCCAGTCAGAAATAGCAAGCGTACAAAGACGATAAGCGCCGCCGCGACTATGCACATGAAGTGAGACATATATGGCATCACGTCGTCAGCATGCAGTTGCAAGCTGGCGGTCGTGGTCGTATACTGAGTACACACGTGTCTGAACCACGGCCTCTACGCAGAAATGCTTATTTCCAACTTGACTCACAGCAGCGGCTATCTTGGCATCGTAGACCTCTCCCTTGTAGCGCGAGTGGGTGTCCAGGGTTTTTGCGAGGAGGGTGATGCCAGCCGCCAGGTACAGCGCACACGCCACCAGGTGGAACAGGATCTCCTGCAAGATGCAGTTGGGGGTTTCCGACCTGTACACGCTCCTTCATGCAAAGTCCCGAGGCTCAGGGACGCGGAATGCGGCCCACAATTCAAATGGTTCAAAAATAACCAAATGAGAACACCCACCACGCTCCGAGAGGATACACGATCTAAGTTCGAAGCATGTCTTAGGCCTAGGGCCTCGATTACTATAGCTTTCCATCTGTCGTTCTCTTACTTTCACTTTCCTTTTAAACATGTAGGTAGCACAACGAAGCACATAGGAAAGAGAAGTATTTGACGAGTACGATGTGTGTTGATCAACATAAACCACACTCGGCACCAAATAACCATGTTGTCCGTGTCCTCAATATCCATATAATTCGTCGGTCTCTATGTTACTCTTCTGTGAGATACAATATACTAAATGTTCTTGTTTTTTTTTTTTTTTTTTTTTTTTAGATTTAACCGATTTGTTTAAAAAAATGCCGTGAAGGTTACACTTATGCGGTTTGTGCAGGTGAGCTATACGGCCAGGGGGACATAGTATAGAGGGCTAATCGTAACAATCAGTCGGCTAATTAATTAAAATTCGTTAATTAACTTTTTAATTAATAAAAATAGACATATGGTTCCAATTAGAAACTTGCTGAGCGTCATCGAAAACTACTAAATCAGTAATTTTCGGAAAGGCTTTGAGCGCTTGAGTTGAACCTGCTCCAAAAGTGATAACTTTAGTACACTACTACGCTTCTCAAGCGATCAAAGTCTTTCTGAAAATTACTGATTTAGTGGTTTTCGATGACGCTCAGCAAGTTTCTGATTGGACCCATATGCCTATTTTCATTAATTAAAAAGTTGATTAACGAGTTTTAATTAATTAGTCGACTGCTCGTTACGATTAGCCACCTATACTATGTACCCCTGGCCCTATAACTCACCTGCACAAAAGCATAGGTGTAACTTTCACGGCTTTTTTTTTTTTTTTACACAAATCTGTTAAATTAAAAAAAAAAGGAAAAAGAAAACCCTGTATGTTGCAGTTACGGATTGCGGAATCCGGCTGCGGTATCTTCCATATACGTGCACGAATGTTCAGGTTCCCGCAGGCTACAGGACAGTTTTGAAAATGCAGTCCATCCTGTGTACAAAACCTGAAATGTGGATGAGGTTAGAAATATGGTAAACCGCCGTACAAGGCGACATCGGAAGAACATCGCTTGAGTACTTGAGAAGCTATCTATAAGGCAAAGTCCAAATCGTTTCTGGCAAATAGATGAGAGCGAATGGCACGAACAATTTTGAGCTATTTGTATATGCGTCACGCAACACAACTTATAACTTTAAAGAAAAATCATAATAGTCATTGATAACTTAGGGACAATATAAAAGGCAGGTTATCAAGGCATCTGTCACCTCGCGTTGAATACCCAGTTGTCCCTGATCGTTTTAAATCCCCTTATCGCTTGATATGGGGTTCTAAGTTGCGGCTCATGATAATGTGGTGATCCTAAAACGCTTTAAAACACTCTTATAACAGATCCCATGTCGGAGGGAGCTTAGCAGGCCCCTTTATTATTTGTTCATTCTGTTGGTAGGGGGTTCATGCTATGGGTTGGGACGCAGCGTCTTGTCAGTGAGGGTACTCACGAAGGACGTTCGGGAGAGCAGCGACGAAGATGTGAACGACCAGCAGGACGAGACCAGCAGTAAGAAGGTGCAGAGCAAGCACCCGAACGCCGTCAGGATGAAGTACATCTCATGCCCGAACATGCCAAAGGAGTTGGTTCCCTTGTAGCTCGTGTAGTACAGCATCAGGCCCAGGCATATCGATCCGAAGACCTGCACAGCAAGATAGAACCACAGACGCAGGTGGTTTAGTCGCGGGTTCATTTTCCGCTTATAGTGCAAAAACAAACGCACGCACACAAGGCACTGGACAAAACGAAAATGTGGCTACCCAAATTCCCAGCTTGTAGGGGCGACTTAGTGCAGACATTTCTCGTTTCAGACTTGAATGTGGTCTAAAGGACGCTTATATATATATATATATATATATATATATATATATGATTTAAAAAAAGTATGCGGGCACTTAGTACTGCCGTATTGTATTAACAGTACGGCAGTACTGAGTGTTCGAAAAAGGTATTTGAAACCGGGATCATTGTGGCCACTTCTTAAATGAGACTAACCTTGTTTCCATTCATTACAGAGAGCGGCATAGTTATACTCCGCGACAACTTTTCTTGGCAGTGGAGTGGAAGGTACGTCCCGCGTCCCCTCTCCCATTTTGAGTGTACGGAGGCTCTCTTCCTGCGTACACTCAAAGCCTGCGCACACGCAAAATGGGAGAGGGGACGCGGGACGTACCTTCCACTCCATTGCCAAGAAAAGTTGTCGCCGAGTATAGGAGCAAGTTGACGCGGACAGTCGATCGCCGGTTTTGTCGCTTGTCGTTAAACCTAACACACTATCCAGCATGCAGCGGAACAGTGAGGTGAAATTTCCAATAATCCAACGAGGCCTCGCAAAATTAAAATAAAAAGATCCATTACAGGATATAATCTCTTTTTGTCTTCAACTGTCTGGAATGCCCGTTGTGATGTCAGACGCTCATTGGCTGAGTGGGTTGAGACTCAGCCTCTGCAACTTTCGGTGTGATGAAACTTGCCCGCTACGCGAGACGACCATTGGGATGTTCACAGTCACAATTGTTTTGCAATACGACAAATGACCGGATATACAAAACTCGGCGCAGGTGTAGGGACATATGCGCCGTGTCCGAAATCCTCGCCCGGGGGACCCGCGCGACATCGGGTGCATGTACTAGCATGCACGACGGCTACCGAAGGCCACGAGCACGAGGGCGTAGTTCCGTCCTCGCGACAGGTGGAACCCGACGACGACGAGTGGCGTCAACAACCGGACATCCGACGGACAGATTTGCTAACGTGGCGTCAGGTTGCGCGTGATCGATGTATGCGGATGTGCACAATGGAGTCCGGAAATCGTCTGCGCGATTTTGGCGCCTATTTCCTGATGATCGGTATAGACCTTTTCCGTGTGCTCTCGTCCACAGCCACCTAACAGGCGTATCCGGTACGGGCGACGAAAAAAACAATCAAACATTTCAACCTGTAAATAGTAAAAAAAAAAAAAAATTAAAGAAAGAAAGAGGGGAGGCAAAACGAGAATGTGTGACGGTTACGTTTGTACCCCAAATGTTTTCTATTGGCGTGGCGAAGGTAAAACGATGTTTTCGCCTATACTGTAAGTGACGACAATTCAAGATGACGGCGCCAATGTGAAAAGGGTCTATACGCGGACGCCGCGCTTCGAGCACAAACCTCGCACTTAGGTGCGCGTTCGACGGGAATGTTCGTAGTTTCACTTGGTCGTAACACATGACGAGTGGCAAAACGCTACAAGTCGAAAAGGCGTGCATTTTCACTCGCCACACATCGTGTAACTAACATTACACGAGATCCATAGTAACATTGTCCCTCAAGAAAAATAAAACTTTTAATAGAAGGATGAGATTATTACACCAAACAGAATCGTGAAAACCCAGATACCACGTCTCCAAAAATGGTAGCACGAGTATGGATCAAAGGTACTGACTTTCTCTTTTTCTACTTATCAATGTGGTTAAAAACAATATAAAACACAAATTATTATTATGTGCATCTCGCTTATATAGGTATATCTAAAAACGAGATCAAAGATTCATACGTCTCCTCTCTCTTTCTTTCCCGTATTTTCGAAAAAAAAAAAAAAAAAAGCTGTGAAAGAATGCACGGGCGAATAGTTTGTGATTTCTTACAATCTGAGCCTCAGGCATTTCATGTTAAGCGCCGTTCACAAACTTGCAACCGAGTAGGACTGAGAGAGACAATACCGGTTTTTAAACCTCTTGCGATGGCGGAGGACCAGATGCGCTGCTGCAGAGCAGGTCCTACGCCGTCGCAAGAGGCTTAAAAACCGATCTTGTCTCTTTCCGTCCTACTCGGTTGGAAGTGTGTGAATGGTGCTTTGAAGTCATAAAGAAACACACTCAGAGACAATAATTTCCTTTTGAACGCCTAGGGAATCGTGGGTTATAATTTATAAAATAACCAGCGTCCAATTAGACATAAGAAGCGATGGTCACAACTTCTTCTGATTCAGAGGCCGTCATCCTACCATTCAGACTTGTTTCTTTACAGCGGAGCTGTTAAAGGGCTAGTTTCCCCAGTATCGCGTCCTTCAGAAAACAAATGATGAAACGAAACTCTGGACAGCTATCGCCACCTATGAGCGACGGCAGCAACCAGACAACCGGATTGCCGATTGTCTCATCGCCGCCGTCGCTTATAGATGGCGGTAGCCGTCCAGCGTTTCCACTCTGGCTTGCCGACTTCCGGCCGACCATTACTTCACTTCACCTCCCCTCCCCCCCCCCCCCCCCCCCCCCCCCCCCATAGTACTGCTTCGCTGGTCGTCTTTCTTCACCAAAGTGGAAAGGCTGAATTTTTTTTTCTTCTTTCAGAAAACAGAATTGAGATTGCGCTCGAAATTTTTGTGCGAAAATGTGACCTCATAAGGTTGAAAATTTCTTTACGAGGGGCGGCACCGCATAGTCGGCGAGCGACTGGTGGCGTTTGCGCGGCATTTCCGGCTAGGCGGCTATAGACCGCTAGACCGACATCGACGCCGTAATAAGATACGTCGCGCCAAAATTCTTCCCAAGCTGACCGGAGACACTTGACTTTTAAAGTAGATGTTTCGCACATGCGCCACACTCTGAAATATGTTTATTTGGAGCAGGCTTGACTCACAGTAGCGGCAGACATAAATAGTTCAAGACACAAGATGCACACCCGTCCGACCTAGGGACACCGCGAATATCTTCCGAACCTTACTGACGTTCGACAGATTCGACGAACGGTTAGGGATGTCAAGGATGTCAACAAAATACGTATTATTCCCCAGAGAGAAACTCGCGACACACTTTGATCGGCAGTTCGTTGCTTCGTTTCCCTATCTAAAGAGCAACACTCGAGGTAAACTTACTTCGGCATTTTCTAGATCAGCGAGTAAAAGAACACTGGCAGTGACAGGGCTAACTCGGGATCTCGGAGCAAGCACTCTTCACCGGGTTGTCTTTCGACGGCGCCTAACGCCGCCGGTGGAAATGGTTTTCGAACGTACCATGGGCCGGCCAAACGGATAACCACCCGACGCACCAATCACTCAACGTCGACGCACAAAAAAAAAAAAAAAAAAATATGTGGGCTTTTTTTTTGGTCTTCGGATTATTTTGTGCTCATGGCGGCGTCGAATGGCTCCCCCCGTATGCACACTTTCCGCGCGCGTCACGAGTTAAAGTCGAGCTGACTGCGTGGGCCGTGATTCTCGCGTGCGGGCCACTAAACTTGTTATGGAAAAGCCGTCGTGAAGTTCGTGCTCCAGAGTGTAGCCCCGGGTCGCCCGTTTCCATGACCCCTCTCTCTTCCCGCTTCCCCTCCCTTCCCACGTAACAAAGTGGGCCTAGAACGCGAGGGCCCTCGCTCGTGAGCCGTATGGAATGCGGTGATGGGGCCCCCGCTGCAGCGCACAGCAACGTCGCCTCTGAGGCCGCACAGTATAGCCAGAGACATCGGCGTATACCTGCCAGATATCGATTACCCAAGAAATGAGGTCATCTTGCGAGCCAGCGCTTTGACCTGGCGGTTAGGCTTAGGGTGCCTTCACACGAAGGTACCCTAGTTAGGCCCAGTTTGCACGCCGAACCGCTACTACGGGTGGCGGTTTGAAGTAAAACTTAGGCTTAATTAGTTTCTCGGTGATATGAACGTATGTGGTTCAAGGGCGCGACGACGCGTCCCGCGCGGAAGCGTAAAGATTCGCTTTGTCTTTGTGAAGTGAAAACAGTCGTTACGCTCAGCTTGGAGAATATCATCCTCTTTCACCCCTTTCTCGCTACATGATGGAGTCCGTCCGGTGAATAAATAAAACAAATTACTATACATCAAAACATAAGACGATCGATTTTCCTCCTTTTGATATCAATAACATATAATTTCAAACTCAGAAAAATGTAAACATTAAAAAAAAAACACGAAACTGAGCACGAATGAAGTCCTCACCGACGATATAGCCCCAGTTAAATAGTTTATTCTTAATATAATTCTCTAGCATTCAGAGTTTTCAGAAAAATTCCCCAAACTGACACATCATGCTTGTAATACGTGCGCACTAATAAGGTCTCGAGCTGTTTGTGGGCACATTAAACATAATAAATAAATAAATAAATAAATAAATCATGCGATTGCCCTTTCTAGGGGAATCAGTGGCCGATTGGGCTAACGCGTCTCAGTTTGGAGCGACCTCCTGGGTTCGATCCCCACCGCCCCCGCCCGTTTCGATCTGGATGAGTTTCGTACCGGCACGCGTTCGTGTGATCAGGTTAAAAATCCCAGGTTAGCGGTTGTACTGCACTGGCTAAATTTCTCATCTAGAGCTAAGAGACCGGTCACCTGTTGAGGCGTACCAACATCAAGGTTGTATAAACGTGCAAAGCAAGACAATTTTTGCCCTTTCCCAATAATGCGTTTTGAAACATATCTCCAAGTCGTTGGAAAGCCATTGGGTACCTAAAGGGAGACTATGCAAATGATCTAAAGACATCTGCTAACGCAAGTGTTCGGACGTTCCTGCCATTTGCCGTGACCCGATTTTTAATGCCGAAGCGAAAACGGGGTCACGGCAAGTCGGCCAAAGGTCAGCTGTTGAAACAGATGCCTGTCAGCACACTTATCCGAGGCCTTTCAACAATAATAAGTTCAAGAATGTCAAGG